CTCCGCGCAAGGGGGATGATCGCACCACGTTGTGTTAAAATGGTCAAGCACCCTCTAGGTGTTACACAGTGCTTAAAATTGTCTCAGGAAGTGAAAGCACCAGAAAATAAATTAAGTCATACGCAGCTGTCATCCATACGCAAGGAAGCAAGCACAAGATGCCGAAAACCCTTAGCAGGATGCAGCGCACCCTTCATGCGACTCGCCGAATATCTCACGGCGCTTCGCGCTTGGTGATGTGAGAGCCTGGTCCGGTGAGAACCCGGCGTGCTCCGTCCCGGCTTTGTAGGGATGCGAGGTCAATGGTCTAACGACTACGGCATGCACGACTATGAGTACACCCCCCCAGACTAAAACTACCGCCTAGAATACTGTAGGCTCACTACAAGAAGGGTGTGCTGTTCTATTGTATAGGATTTTGTGTGGCGTTCATGTATAGCCTGAATGTCATGTATTGCTTAGACGCTACCGTCGCATTCTAAATCCCATACAATGCGGCGGCATCTTGAGTACCGTAAGTCCATAGAACTTTGTATCGCCTTCAAATTTCCAAATTATTATGGCATTCCAATGTTTACTCCGCTATCAAACTAAATCCTAGTCCACAGAGCCCCATTCCCGGCCAAAATTGAAGCCCAACCTCCGGGTGTTCCATTCTTGCAATGCGGAGGAGGCTGAGACGCGGCGCTGTTGATAAATTTCTCCTGTCCCCTCCCCCGACCCCGGTTGCAGATTGCTGAGGGCAAGGCAGCTATTTTCTTCCGTGCAGTCGTTGCCCGAAAGAGCCGCTTTGTGGATCACAGGCACCACGCATGCTTGGAACGAAAGCAGACCCGCCCAGGTCATGCGTTTATCTGTTGTAGAGCCATGAAAGTTGCATGTGCCGTAACATATGTCTGTCACGCTCAGAGCACTTGACTCAGTATTGTCCTGCTCGCAAGTGAAAAAATTACCGTGCAGGAATTCCACGTGTCCCAAATTCGTCTCTGCGTCCAGCTTGAGTGTGCTGGCAACTTGATACCAGGCACGGTTCAGCATATAGCGAGTCGATTGCCCTGGGCAACAACAGTCTAGAGGGAAAGGGAGAACTTATGACGGGGTTCGAGGCAAGCTAGAAGCCGAGAATTGGCGATATCAAACGCTATCGGGTTGATTCAATGGGCGACTCCTCCAGTGTTCTCCATGCTGACTCGCGATTTCTCCTGTTTTGATAATAAATCTCTTGATCGAAGACAGGTCGGGCACCAACCTGCCCATATCTCAAAATCATGTGCTCAGCCTCCAATGGCTTCAGGAATACTTTGTGTTGGCTGCTATCTGTCTATCAATGTTCTTCGACTTCCTCTTTTCCGTATTTGTTCTCACGAGGGTTCTAGGGCAGTCTGTTCGGTAAAGGGTCGACATCAGATCATCTGTGTCAAGTTTGCACATTCATCTCACCCGGCCGACGGCCATGCGATTCGGTTTTGTTTGTCACAGGCGAGGCAACGGTTGGTCTACCAGCAGAGCAAGCAACGATACCACGCCGGAAGGAGCATTTTTTCTTCGGCCCGTGTTCAGGAGGTACGTGCTGCCGTATGTGCCTTGGCTCTTCTGTAGATTTTTCACCAATTTCTAGACTAGTCTCCTCATCAATGTTTCGTCCAATTTCGCACTTGGTCCTGCTAAAAAGGTTTGCTCATGGGTATTTTGGAGGGAAGAGAGTGCTGAACCTTTCTTGTGCTAAAAATGAAGGCGTGAGCTGCCGAACAACGTTTGCGTGTTGCCCGAATCAGGGTCCGAAGAAACGACTATAATAGCGACATTTCACAATCAGAATGTTGTCAATTTCTCGGGCAGTGGCCCAAATGATCTAGGTAAGGCCGACCCCATGCCTGCCCCCTTTCTTCCGTCGACAGGCTGTCCACGAGGAATGGATCCAGGGAGGCCACCGCATTCGGGCACTTCGGGTGCTGCTCCTGTACCTTGTCTACCTTGTCGTATTTACGCTGTGTTCGGTGCTAAACTCCGGGAGAAACATGCCTCACGGCTACCACCTGACCATGTAAGAGAGGGAGAGTTTGTTCCTGGATTGTTCTCCAAGGTTTTCCGCACTAGGCTGGGACAAGAATGATCGAGGCCTCCAGCATGGCCATGAATGAAATGTAACACGGGTAAGTTTTCTGGATAGATATCGTATACGGCAGGTAACAAATCGGTCATGGCTCAGCTGTTGCCCGTGCTTGTATGTCAGCGGAACCCAACCCCTTTCAGCTGACAGTAGTCGATGATATTTTTCTGCTTGTAGCCTCGTAAGCGAAGCAGGGCCTCAGAATGGCGTCCTATTGAAATCACAGCATCACATAGAGCTAACATGATCATCGGTAGAAGCAAGTTCAACAATCCAGAAACCCCTTGCGGATTTTGGCCTAGAAAGAGTTTGGACAGTGTTGAGGTGTGACAAGCGTTGTTTTCCAACGACCATTCCCAGGTCGATTCGATCGGCGATCGAAATCGGGTCTGGCCTGTGGGACGAGGAAGAATCCCTCTTCGGTACGACGGACTCCGCGGCCAGCATCTGGGAATGGTTGCAAGGCCCTGTCGTTGACCTCGTCTACGCGGATACCAACAACAGGTGTTCGACTAGCAAACTCGTTGGAGCACCTTTGCCATTCGCTCAAGGAACTGGATCTCGTTGCTCCCAGCGGCACACATCGAGAACAAACAACTTGCGGTCGTGCAGCTATCTTTGAGCGAATGATACAGAGAATACACAAGACGATCCAAGATGCCGAAGCACGACCGTACTATCCACGCTACAGCCCCAATTGGGCATTGAAAACTGCGTAAGATATCCGCGGCATATACGACGCCCCCGCATTGATTGGCAGTCGCTACGCTGACAGCATCAAATGATGCCCTCCGTCCACATTTCGTCGGATTTGTTGCAGTTGGTACGAAGGAGACACCTTGGTGACTTCCCAAGGATGGAACGCCTTGAGCATACTGGGACAACCAAGGCTCAGTCAGTGGCGAACGGCGTCCGATTCTTGCGAGGTGCCGAGTGTGCGGCGTGTTTTTAACGTGTTGCTGCTACCCGTCGTTGACGTTTGTGACAAGCGCCATCACCATCATTTACCCACCCCGCAACCCTTGACTCCCTCCTCCTTGGGTTGCACGGACCATCAGACCTGGCCACTCATCTTGGCCGAAGAAGAACTAAGCAGCAACAGCAGCAAGTTTTGCTTCAGTGATTACTGCGGTGAAGATTCAGGGGCAACGGCACTCTGTCACGCAGCTTCCATGGATGCCAGACCCTTCGGCCCAGATTTCAAGTGAGGTGTCGCCCCTTGTCCGTTTGTAGCATGGACACGGCACACCCCGGGCCCTCTGCCACCGGTGCCGGCGTTGGGTAGTCGGGGTCGAAGTCGAAGGTTATGTGTGTCGGTATCGATGTTGCTTCAGGGTGGCGAGGTCGAGGACGGCGACCGTCGACCGGCTGCGGGCCCTCTGCCACCGGTCCCGGCGTTGGCCGGTCGAAGTCGAAGTCGAAGGACAGATATGTCGGCACCGGTGTTCCTTCAGAGCGTCGCGGCCGGGGACGATCGCCGTCGACCGGCTGCGGGCCCGATCACGTGAAGTAAGGGCTAAATCGGAGGTACTTGAAGGAAGTGAGGACCAAGTCAGCTGAAGTCGTTTGGTAAAAGCAAACGCGCGGTGCATAAGTGAGAGCGCGACTCCTGCTGCGACGAACAGCGAGAAACACGAATAGGGTGCCCCAAGGATGTCGGGAATCGAATGTGAAGGTACCTTTTCGACGGTATGCGAGAGTCGAAAGCACCTCTATCCCCCCAGCCATCAAGCAATAATGGTACCAACACCCACACCCACCCACAGGTACAAGTACGTTCCCGATGCTCACAAGGACAGGATAAAGGGGTCCTTTGGAGTGTACGGGCCGGGAGCATTCGTGCACTACATCCCGACTGAGGACCGAGGGTTAGCCGAGTCAGGCATGGAAGAACTCGAAGTGAGTTGTCGTGCAGATGTGACGTATTGCCTTTTTTCGGGCGTATACCCCTCTCGTCCGGGGTAACATGGAATCTGTGTTTGAGGGTCTTGTTGCGTCGGGTCTACTGCTGTCTCCACAATGAAAACCCCCATGTGACATCGACACTCACCTCATATTCCATCTCTTCATTGGCCGAAGGAAGTCCATTCATAAGCAGAACGTAACCCAAACAGAGACAAAGGCAACGAAAAGAAGTACGAACGTTTAGTCGTCGAACAGATAGAAATATGGGGTTTATTGCTGTAACGGTCGAAGACTAGTCACTGTATAGAAACCCGAGGTTATGAGTAGAAGTTGTAACCCCGCTGCATATCCTGTGGAGGAGAGCACGCCGTTGCTGTCGCCAGTCGCGTATCGAGAGGAAGCTGCAGAACACGTAGGAAGACGGAAGGAAAGCAGCGGCCGTCCAACGTACGTGACAGCACAGTAGCAATAATCCCGCCCTCCCATCCCTTTTCTTTCGAAGGTGGGGGAATAAGTTGGGGAATATTCGGTTCAAGTCAGGGTGTTGTAGAATGGTGTATACCATTTGGGGACTTCGTCAGTATCGGGACGTAGGCGTGTACAGTTGTAGTCCCCGGGCTTGTATTTTTTGTGAGGCGAGAGACGAATCTGTAGGGGTTATCTCCTCGCCTCGCATGGCGAGAGGATGTGCTTTCCGTGTGTCTCTCCCCAACACGTGCCTAGAAAAGTGGGAAAATAGCAAAGAAGGAAAACAACAAGTAACAACTTGTGTCATCGTTTCTTGTGAACTTTTATCAGACTTTGTTGAAGCCATGAAAGCTTCCCTGGATGCATCCATTGAAGCCATGGTAGCTTTGCATAGCACCACCCTGCGTGGTTTCGAGGAAAGGCTCCATGAATGCTTCCGTGGAAGTCATAGGAATCTATGGTGTGGCTGCTGACGATTTATCAATGCTGCAGGCCGATGGATGGATCGACGAGAGCTCTCGGGCGGTATCGCTGGAGCTGGCCATCCACAGCTTTTCAGGAAGGCAAGTCTGATACCATAGCGAATCTGCAGGCTAACCCTCACATGCGGATCAGAGGTTTGGAAGTTGTACCTTCACAGAAAATGCTGACTTGTCTTGTCCTCAGGGCCCCAAACGTAGGCCAACCCTCCCCCGACACAAGAAATTTCCGTAGATTAGTTGGTAGAGCACGCGAACAGTCAAGTACGGACATTTGTTGCGACTCAGGGAGCACGTGTCACCCTCAGCCCTCCTCCGTGTTTTCCGACGCTAGATATAGTTTGGTCGAGGTGTGCGAATATAACGAGATACGAAGTTATGTCAAAGCACATGTGTAGGTAGGTAACAGGGAATGGTTGCCCCGCTCTGCCAGATGTAGATCAACTTTGTCGGAGCCCCCAGTGCATGTTATCGTGTAGTGCCGAACTGGACATTTTCGTGTTGGGGCATCCTGGATTCCATGAGTCAAACCAATGTGCAGATAAGTTGGTAGGCCTCACACACATGCAAGTGCTAATGAGTTTGGAAAGTGCTTGTATTCATTGCCACAGATGCTGCCCCGCGCCCCCCCTAATCTGTAAAGAGAGCTTGTCCCAATTCGCAGCACGTGCTCCTAGGCTAAGTTTCACACGAGCCGTTCCACAGCCAGTTGCTCGCTTCGCCTGTCAAACATCGGATGAATATTATATCTACTCGGAGGGAGCAAGAAAAAGAGTGTAACGAATGTTTTAACCTGTATCTTCGATACTTTTCAAACTAGCTGCACATGTCTACTACGTGTGGCTGCAGGAAGCTGGTCTATGTGCGTATTCTGATTGAGCTACCCGCGGACGGCGGGGTTCCTTCGACCCACCCGTCCTACGTCACGTTCAGCACTTTCAACTCCTTTCATACCCTTCGCAACATCATGCTCGGCCCAAGGTGAGCAAAAGAGAAAAGCCTCGCTTGTTGACGTGTATGTGTAACCGTCTTTTGCGAAATCAAACAAGAATGAACGGAATAATTCCACTTTGCGACAGGCTTGTGAAATGAAGTGATGCAGCCCATGCAGCAATGACTCAAACACCGCAGGCGATGAGGTTTTCCTCTTGCCCCTCTCTGCTACGTCAACAGCACCCGCTTGTGTATTAAACCCACACCTGTATCTTTTGCCATTAAGGTTGCCAACGTGGAACACACCTGTTGAACTGGGTGTCAAATAATTTATCAGGCAATCCAGGACTCTTCGTCAAGCTTGTTAAGCTGTTTCGACCAATATATCATTTGATGCTTTGAGCGTTGCCTGGAATATGTTCAGCGCCAAATTGCCGCGCTTTGAAATTCACGATACAACCGTTCCCATGGCCCTAAACAATGCCTGCAACAACATCAGGGGCGCGCAGTACTACTGGTTGCAGCTCGGAAATGAGGGTGGAGGAATAGCCGGTGACAGGTAAATGCGTTGTGTGAGGCGTGAAGGAGTGTGCGGTCCAGTCTCGGGATGGGTCGCGGCTTATGTTTACGTGTGGCAGAGGAGAGGGACGGGGTGAGCAAGAAAGAGAGAGAGAGAGAGAGAGAGAGAGAGAGAGAGAGAGAGAGAGAGAGAG